GCACATTGTCAGGCTCTTGGTAGGTGCTGCGCCACTCCGCGCGAGACTCACATGCAACATCATACCATGATGCCTCCACGCCACGGGCACGTAGATCCCGGACAGCACAGTCCTTCCATCTGCGGCGTGGGCCATGTGCTGGGCGACGCTGCAAGAAGGAGCCAAACAGTACCTGTTTTGGGATGCGGTTGTCCGGCATCCGCGCCACATGCCCCAACCACTCCAACCGCCGATGTGCAATTTTGTCTTTAATCGTCTCGGAGTCTCCCCAGCGCACCACACACACACACACACACACACACACACACACACACACACACACACACACACACACGTACACACACACACACGTACACACACACACACACACACACGCACACACACACACACACACACGCACACACACACACACACACACATAACCATCATAGCAACCTGTTTTAAATCCAATTCTCCATGATTACACAAACTATGACAAAAAATAAACACAATTACATATAGAACATTGTAAACACACATAGAAATTACTATCAGTTCATAAATCAATGATGAAAAAACAACATAGCATAGCAGTAGCAGCAGATATGATTATAGGCATGAAAACATCAGAAATCTATTCACAACAGTCCTCAACATTAGAGTAGTAAGCAGGCAAGCAGCAAGCAAAAACATAATATCTACAAGAAGAAAAGCAGGCAAAAAAACATATCCATGGTCAGGGTTTAGGGGTAGGGGGTGTACAGGGGAACAAAACAATACAAAACTTTACATTGTTCCAAGAATTTACAACAAATTTACTAAGTTTACATTGCTGTGTAATCAAATTACAACACAACATACATTGCCTTCCACTCACACGATCAGTCTACATATTCAAACACCATCCAAACCATCCCGACGCCCCCTCTCTGTGAACACAGTGACAAGTTGAGAACAAATATTCTCACTCCAGTCACAGTCATACACGGAGAGTATACGTAACTGTGTACACACCTTCACTGCTTCAATGAATCTCAATTCATCATCCTCACTACCCACAAACACATTCAAATTCAACCCCAACTCTTCCAGCTGTGTACATTGCTCCAACATATCACAGAGTACAGACAACGGTGCAGCACCATCAAGATACATGCACCTGCTGACATTGACAGCGTGTACATTCTTACACTGACTAAGTGCACGGAACACCGACACAAAACCACTCACACCAACAGGGTTACCACCGACACCCACATCCACAAGACTAGCAGACATGGCTGAAATCACGGAGGACAATGCCTGACCATCGTGAATACCATTCCTCCCTAGATCTAGTACACGTACATGGCTACACCTCTGTAAGCCTGCTGATAAGCTGTGAAATGACGCATCGCCAATGCTACACCCAAAGAGGTTGACTACCTCTAAATCACTACACGTATAGCCACGCAGTAAAGAACTGAGAGCAACACATTCATGAGAAGAAAGAGAAACATAATCGAGATTGAGCTTTGATGCAAGCATAGCACGAAAGAAAGAGTGTGTCCAGTTGCAGGACACACCGTGATACTCTGCATGCTCATGATATGCCACAACAAGATGAACAAACAACCTACGTATAGGAGATTCAGCAGCAGAAAAAAACTGAGCAGCATCAGCTAGACTTACAATGCCAGAAGGAGCAGCTTGCAGGGATTCACGACTCAGCAGCATAGCAGCGGGATGAAGCAGACTCTCGCACGGCCGCGCCAGCTCGGCATCCACCTGGGATAGCGCTTCCAGCAGCACAGTGCCATTTGCAACACTGCCGTTCTCCATCCACACCGTCAGGAGAGTATTTAGGAATAGCGCGTCTGTGGGCTCTCGGCTGATGGGCATGGAACGGCGCACGCGTTGCCCACCATGGCCCTTGCCACGGTCATGCTGAGGAATGAGGAGAATGTCGGCGAGGACTGTCATGTGCTCAGCCTTCAGTACCTGGCAAAGTCGGTCGTGGACCTTTGCCATCTCCATCTCACCGGTCAGGACACTTGAGTCGTTGCGCATGTCCCCGGCTAGCTTAGCGGCGGTGGCAGCACGCCTAGCGGCAGTAGCAGCATGTTTGGTAGCCTTCGTAGTCTCGAAGGAAGCCCACACCTCTTGCCCGTCGCTGACCCGTCTGTTAGCTCGTTTGGTGTATTCGTCGGCCTCTCCGCTAGGATCCAGTGGTATGGGATCCTCACACTGCACACGCCATAGCTCCTCCATGATGGTCAGCGACACGTCTTCCGGGCATTGAGCAATGAGAAACTTCCAGAACATTGCCATATGGCCATCGTACGCGCCCAGTCGCCGTACCAGTGCAATGGCGTGATGTCTTTCTTGCACCACACATTCTGCCTGAAACCATGCCGCCAGGAACTCCTGCAGTGACAGATGGCAGAAGCGGTATTGCCGAGCGTCCGTAGACATTGTGCCTTGGCATGTTTGCAGAAGACCCAAGCTCATTGCATCCTTGCTCAAGTGGGAGTTGATGATGTCGGACGTGTTGAACACCATCCTTTTCACCAGCAGCATGCGAAACGCAAAACGCCCCAGTTCCTGTAGCGACTGGACCACTTTGCCGGATGCCAGTGAAATCGACTCGCAAACCGCACCACCAGCGCGTTCAACGACTCGGCGCAGTAACGATTCGTACAGGGATGCGCTGGACTTCAACAAACCTATGCTGCTCTTGAAAAGCTCACAGGTTAGGGCTGCAAACATGGGAGTTGCCATAAGACATGACACATCCGGCTTGTTCTGCAGCTCGGCCAGCAGAATTTCAGCGCGCTGTCTACCGAGAACCTTCTCCGCGTACTCCCTCACGTTCTCCGGTGAGAAACCCAGTACTTGGATCTTCTGCTGATATTTGCCACACTGCGATAGTTGATATGCATCCTGGCATGGACGGCTTGTGACGATCACGTGTGTCTTCACCATGCCCTCACGTTTCAGCAAGTCACTCATGAACAAACTGCAGCTGGCCAAATCACATTCATCCAAGCCGTCCATGATGACACATAGACGGCTTGGAGAATCTTCGAAGTAGTTTGCAAGCTCCAATATCTCAGTCTGCGACAGGCCCTGGCTCGCCAGTTTCACAGCCAACAGCTCAGCAAGACTAGTGGCAGCTCTCACCTCTTTTTTACGAAGCTCCAATCCTACGACCAGGTCGAATTCCTCCTGCCATAGTTCACCTCTGCTCCACAGGTATAGAACCATGAGCAGAAACACTGTGGTCTTGCCACTACCAGCAGATCCGTACGCCAGTACATTCCGTAACACCTTGCCACAGAGATTCGGTCGCTCGGTCGCAGTAGCTGCTGTTGGTGCAGATTTTCCTTTTGAATGGGAAACGTCGTCAACACTCGAACCTGCGGCACGAAACAGGTTCTTCAATTCAATTCGATCGGCTTTGCTAAATTGCACTGCGTGTTCACGTCTCTCGGTGTACGTGGAGAAAGACAACTGCTCGTCAAATTCCGACTTCAATTCGTTCTCGGATACCAATGCCAAATTGACGAATATCTCTTGTAATGGAATTACTGCATCGCCAGCCAATCCACCACTGATTTGCAATCCAGACTCTTCTGCCAACTCACGTAGCTTTTCCTTCGCTTTCGCTAGTGAGCCCAGGATCGATGTTTGTTGAGCTGAGGGCCCAGTTCCTGTCTTGTTCCCCATCTTTTATTCTTCAATGAGTTTCTTTCACAGAGACTCGCACTCTCTACTCTAGCTCTCCCGTCACCAGATCATGATCCTCTAGCCCCACGCTTGACCTCCGGTCCGAATCATACCGCGCCGCGGGCCGTGCTTGAAGACCAAACTCGAACGAGTCGAAGCGATCACGTGCACTACAAATTAATGAGTATTAAAATACCGGCATTTTACTACTCCTTGCTCCACAAAAATGTAATCTTGAGCGGCCCAAACTTCAAAAAAAAATTCCGTTTCAGTCTCCAGCAGACAACCTGGGTTCTTCACTACGGCCTAAAGTATGTATACCTGACCTGGATTCCGCTTGTTGTCATCTTCAGAGTGAGGGCAGAAGCTCAGGAGAAGCCAATTTCTCCGCTCTCGTCGGCGATACTGCGCACCATCTGGGGGTGCGCAGTTCACGGAAAGGAGCGCCTTTTTCAAATTTTTGAAGATGACGACGACACCGACAGGATACTCTTTGAAATGTAGAATTGCATTTTCGTTTGGTAGTTGCATAGTAGTTGCGTTTCGCGCTGTTTGAGTGCCTCCTGCCCACCGCTCACAGCATGGTAGACACCTTTTGACATGATGGAGGAAGAGGCCGTGGAGCTTCTTAGGCCTCGTCCTGGGAATGGCGTTGTATCGCGGGAATTTTGCTTGTACCATTGCGTTCAATGCATCGCAGGAAAAGCAAACCCGATTTACTTTGCAGAGTTGGGAAACTTTCTTTGAAGCTGCTAAATGCAGGCAGGACGAGCTATACCTTCTTGTGCGAGAGCCACTGCACCGAGGAGAGCGTCCGCGGATGGTACCACCGCAAGTGCTACAGTACATGCACTAACAAAACGTTGCTGGGTCGGCTGCCACTTGGACGAGGCCATGACTGTTCAAGCCATTCTGAATTGGAGGAGATACATGTATGTGATGATTGGACACCATGTATCAGCAAAGCGTAGAACAAGGAGAGATGTACAATGATTGAATCCATCTGCAGACTTGTGCCTCATGACATGTGCATCTAGCAGAGTTGGAGAACAACGCAAGAATTTTGGCTTTCGCTCCAGAATGGCCCAGATTGCGTTGCAGCGGAAATCCACTATCAACGTCGGAGCATGCTACAGTGCCTTCACCCACCTGGCCACTATGCACCGGTAACGAAGTGGCAAAGGGAGTGACCAGCCGTCGTCCTACGAAACATTTGACAGCCTGGTGCTGTATATACAGTCCGAGTTGAAGTCTGCAAGGGCCTTGCCCATGAAGCTTCTCACGGATAAGTACAATAACTGCAAACGGCGCCAGCTTCGCCGACCATCACACTTCGCCTTAGTATCCAACTGTCATGCTGAAAAAGAAGATAATGAGCTACTTGGGGACCAGGTGAGTTCTTGGCATTGTTGAATGTGTAGACATAATTTGATCATGTTTTATTGTTTGGTCATGACCAAGGAAATCCAAATAACACATACGCTCAACTACAAGATCACATGATCGCATGTACACACCAGATCATGAGTCCAGACTCAACTCATGCACAGCAACTAAAAGCCGCTAAGTTCATTTCACACGCGCGCTCGGGAAACGGCACATGCTGCATGCATAACATAACACGATGCGCTACTATCATGAATGTCTGGGTGGCCAAGGAATGCCACAATGTGTATGTAGACGTGAACACTACAGTGCCTGACATCTACAACATAGGAATGTATTAAATGGAATGCAAGTGTTCATGCTCATGTAATGTGGTAGTCTTCTTTGGTTGAATTACGTTTGTGGCTGTTACACGTATTATTACGACCAGCTTGGCTCTCGCGCTACTTCACACGGTACACATGTAGGTCAGAATAAATCAGGGCTTGTGGTCCGAGTCAGAGTAATGTCCAAAGCTGACGTCAGTATTCTAGGCTGACTTTAAGCAAGAAGAGACAGAATTATAAACTGGTTGTTTTCTAAACACAATTGTATAGCCCGTGATAACGCGGACATGCTTCCCTTTTTTTTAAGGATCGAATTTCATTGGCGTGTTTCATTTGCGTTTTGTGTTTGAACTGTGTGTTTCCTTCAGCAATTGACATGTATGGTAAGTGGCATGGGTATACAGGCGCACTCTTCACGGAGCAACCACTTGTCTGTGTCGTCTGCAAACGGTCCGATGGCCGGTAATACCCAGTCATTGCCGAACAGTCATACTAGTAACGCACCTGGCCCGACTCCAACCATCCCAGTCCAGCCGGTCGCCGCAGATTTCCTGCCCGCATCCACGTCCACTCCGCACCCCAGTGTCCGGCAAGAGAACGGGCCCAATGCCAGGAGTTACGACGGGCCCACTGCCAGGAATTACGATAGGCTCACTGCCAGGAGTTACGATAGGCCCGCTGCGATATCCGCTGGGCTTGTCCCCGCCAATGTCGTGTTGCCCACTCATTTCGGCTTCAAAGGATCCGCTACTCCGCCGCGTCAGGTGAACACCAGTGGATCAGTTTCATCTCTGGGTACTACATCAGCCTCCAGTACAGATGTGTCGGCTAGTACGGCTTTGACTACAACCTCGGGTGCGAGGCAACCAGTGGCGGCTGCGGTGTCTTCTACAGCGCCATCTCAGCCACAGTCGCAGCAGGTTCTTGCTGATCTCTAGCGTGCTATGTGGTGTGTGCGCGCGCGGACGCGCACACACAATGCCATGTGTTGTGCGGTGTGTGTGCGTGCGTGTGGGTTTTGTGTACGTGTGTGTGCGAGCGCGCGCACAATGCCATGTGTTGTGCGGTGTGTGTGCGCGCGCGTGCGCGCGCATGCACACAATGCCATGATGAGGGTGAAGGCAGTTTCGACAGTGGATTGGACTGTAAGTCCGACTGTGAATCGGACAGTGAGTCTGAAAGCTAAGGCTGGTGGACCGCACTATTGAAGTTTTTGAATTGATTTGAATTTGAATTGTACTTTTCAACTCTGCAGCAAAATTTGCTGTTGACGAATACACTACTGCGCTATTATTTACAACATCTTCCATATCGCTCGTTTGCTAAGATCAGCTTATGATCGCTATCACTCTGCCGTTTTCCGGTGTGCTTTGCTTCGCTCGTGCTAGCTCTCTTCCGCTGGTGTTGTCGAGATAGTGTCCCAATAAATGAAATCCTCTCATACGAAAGATCCATGTTTGGGGGTGATTTTGGTCAAATTTTACAACAAATCAATCTGTGCCATCTCTAATCACCATCAATAGGAAATGAACGCTCGGCAAAGGGCAACCATGATCTACAAATCATCCAAACACAAGAACAAATTCACATCGACTGCACTAATTTTCAATAAAATATCGTATCACATGCTGCCAATTTCAATCAAGGAGTCGTAAAATAACGTAAAATAACGACTTCCGTAACGAAACCTAAAATTGGTTCTCCCCAGCTTATGCCCTAGTTCTGGACATGACAACAAGCCGTTTCGACATCCCTAGGACATGGTCTTTCCACCCATGCGAAGCTCAGGTTGTCTGCTTGAGACTGAAACGGGACTTGCAAAACAACGTCTTTTAGATTTGGGCCGCAGGACTATGTGCTTCGCTACATGTATACAATCAAGTGGTAGATCTAGTAACGAGTGTGGTTGTCTACATAGTTATTCGTTACTGCCACATTTTAGTCTGCAATCAGTCATGTAGAAACTGATGGAGATATACAAGACTCTTGATTATGATTTGCTGGTTGTCCGTAAACTGTGTGACGTGCAGACTGGATACGAGGGTGCGGGATAAAAACGTTGAATCTATCCATGTCATCGGAAAACAGTGAGAAGGAACACATTCATTTGAAACATGTCAAAGTGAAAGGAGGAAAAATAGGATCCGAAAACCGGTAATGCGACTAAGAGAAAGCAGAAAAGAGAATGTGATGCGCGCTAAGATAATAAACCCAAACATGAAATTCACCGCTGAACAACTACATGTCCAAATGTAGATCAGGCAGGGACAGAATGACTGTTTAAAATATATACCAATTAGGCAATAGTTGTGTATTTGTATTTCACTATTTCCTAGTTACAATCAGAGTACATGATAGACGATTCAGCCTGGCTCTGGATGTGTCCATTGTTGACTTGTTTCTTTGCAAAGAGAACACTTACATTGGTGATGATGAAGAGTTTTCTGTGTTATCACTCAAACATTTGATGTTGCAAACCTTGATGGTGAGAATGAGAATAGTGGTGCGAGAATGGCAAAACGAAACACGTCATCGAATCCATGAATTCAAATGTACATGTGTGGCTACTTGGTCCGGTAGGAAACTATAACGAAGACGCTGGTACAAACCTGGGGGAGGGGACGTTCCCAAGGCAACACTGTCTTAGGGAAAACCGAAGCCGTGAAGGTAGGTACATGTAAGTGTGACATGATGCACCTATTTCTGATGTGTTGTTCAAAATGACAATGTTTCTACTTTTCACGAACCATGACACTAGAACGTAATTGTGTGTGAGAATGTTACAGGCTGATTCGATTGTGTGAAAGGATTAGGGGTGAAAGTTGGCACTGAGATCCCGAGTTCGAGTACTCTGATTTTCTCCGATCGAATATTCGAGTATTCGAGTATTTTTCATCTCCAAAACTTGCACACCAAGGGCTTTAAAATAACATGATACGACCCTGATTGAACCGAGTAGCAGTCATTTTTCTCGGGTATATTGGTTGGTGGGTCATTTGGGCTCTCTCTACTCGTGAACAAATGTTCACCACACAGCCTGCACATCACCATCTGCCAACTGCTGCCCTGAAACTGCAGATTTCTGTAGTAAATGCATGTACCATGTATGAACGAGTACTCTGATTTATTCCGAGTACGATTATTTTTGAAAAAACCGAGCGAGTACTCGAGTACTCGGTATAATTGTTTCACCCCTAGAAAGGATTGAAAACCAGTCCATTGAGAAACAAATTCGAATCGTCCATCCCACACATTCCACTAGCCGAACACCAAATCCAGTCTGTTCGTCTGTGATAGTGGTCCAGTACAGAAGACTCGCACCAGTACAAGTTAGCGAATGTAGACCAGGCTTGAGTGACACATCAGTGACAACTCTCTCTAGCAGGTTCGCTGTCACGCGACGAAGCTCATTGTAAGGCATTATCTGTTAGCCAACAGTGCTGCAGTAAAGTACGTGGTCACATTGAATAGCTACACCCCCCCCCCCCCCCCCACACGCACAGGCTGACGGTTGGCGACAGGGCTGCCATACCACAGAACAAGGCCATCTCTGCATTCACTGTTTGACAGCTAGAACCCATGAGCCTTCAGGGGACGGCAGGTTCATGGTTAGTCAGCTGAATACTCCAGACTCGCGGACCTGGTTCATGGCAAGATGCAGACTTTCCGAGAATGTGCTGATGACACAACGTCACCGTAGCAGAAGCAGCAGCACCCTGAATATGGGCTATCTCCACTGTCTACCTTCCTTGGTGTTCATATGACTGACGGTGGTCAGCGAAGTTCTAAGCTGTGGACATTGAGTCATGATGTTGTAGAGGTGAGGGATGGTGAGGAACGATACAGCGTACCCAGTTCAGTGGGATCAAGCATACCAAGACAGCCTTCTGGACATGGGAAAGAGAAGAGATGGTGGAGACCAGTGTGAACAGGTTGTTCTGTCAGGTTTGTTAGATCTTTGCATGCGGGTGACATGCTCTACGGGTGTCATGACTTGGACACGCTGGAAACCATGCGTCTCTGTAAGTATGTATACTTGGTGATGGTTTGGCCTGGACATCACTATTTATGTGGTTCTGTTCAGTTACAATCTTCACACACTCACTGCTGTCCCACTCTGCATATACTCACTATAATGTATGCTGGACGACACTTGCAATAGTAGACTTAAAATAATTTAAGACAATAGATTGCCAAGTTTCAAGATCAACATAGTCATTCGGTAGAAGACAGTACCTGCCCGATTCCGTCCTGTGATGTACCGTCACGTGACACCACTGCAGACTCTATCTGGATGCAATGTAGTGTACAGATGTATCATACAACCTATCATAATCATGGAGTATTCATCACTCATCTCTGGATGAACACGTGACCAACTACGTTAGCACACACGCGCGCACACATACACACACACAGACATACACACACACTCACACACACACACACACACACACACACACACGTACACACACCTTGAAACCTTGAAACTGCCACATTAAGGTGATGCAGTGCCTCAAAGAGGCAAGGAGGGCAGAGTTACTTCTTGCATTTGTGTTGAGCCAGGTACTGGAGACGTGTGAACTTCCGAGAGCAGGTCGGGCATGGGATGGTGCGGCGCTCGGAGCCAGAGCTGCATGTTCTGCGGTTGCAGTTGTGCCGGCGGTGCCCAGCTTTGCTCCGGAAACAGCGGTCACAGGTGTGGCAGTGGTAATGACATTGGCTGCAATCAGGTGGGCGAGGTGCAACAATCTCTGGAACTGGAGCGTCACCAAGACTGGGAGAGCAGCTGTGCACAGCAAATCCACCACGGCTAGCAAACCAACGATGGCACGTTTCGCACAACATAGCACCGGCCTGTTCATGGATCGGCTTCAGTCGCTCTTCCCTGCATTTGTGCCGCCGAAGTCCGCTTTCACTGGCAAAGAGTCGCTCACAGATTGCACAACACACTGACTTGGCAGTCGTTTCAAGGCGTAAGCGCCGTGCAACAATAGGATCCGAGATGGACTGGATCCACTCGCCACGTTCAGCTGCGAGGTCGTACCAACCGGTGTATAGACCGAACGCCTTGAGGTCATCGCGTACCATATCACGCCATTGACGCCTGGGGCCATGAGCAGGGCGTGGAGTTTAGAGCCACGAGAACAAAACTGCCTTTGGGAGCCGGTGGTCGTCCATCCTGGCAATGTGGCCAAGCCACTACAGCCGTCGACGGGCAACCATGTCAGCAACTGGCTCTGTGGCGCACATTCTATGCAGCGAGGCAGATGACAAGTGGTCCTCCCACTGTTTGGAACGCGAGATGCCGAGAATGACACGAACGCAGCGGTTGTGGAATTGTTCAAGGCGACGTATGTCGGCACGCAACAGAGTCCAGTTCTTAGCCCCGTACAACAGCATCGACAACACACAGCATGTGTACGTGTGTTGTTTCGTCTTAGATGTTAGTGAAGTTTTCCGAAAAACTGACGAGTAGAGGCTGCCAAAGGCTTTAGATGCAGCAGCTATGCGGTTGGACACATCGGTGTGGCATCGTCCGTCTGGTGTTACCAATGAGCCGAGATATGTGAACTCGCTTAGCGGGTTTACGGTCACTGTCGTTGATCTGGTGCCCAACAGCCATGAACACTGTCTTTGCCATGTTGACAGACAGCCCGAATGCTCCACTGACCTCCGCAAATATCTCAAGCATACGCTGAGCATCCGAGT